CTTGTGCTTGTGAGGCAGGCAGTGGCACCACTGAACTAAATCCCCGGCCTGGAAGAAATATTTTATAAGTGGGCCCTCTACCATTCTAATCACAGTCAGGGTTCAGTTCACAAAAGGGGAAATAAGTATGGAGTGGGGGCCTTGAAGTCCCTGCCTTGTCCCATATTGGCCCTTATCTCCATTCAGTTTTTGTTTGCTTGAGAGAGGGTTTCACTATGTAGTTCAGGCTGGCCTTGAACTCACTATGTAGCCCAGGATCATGGAGATCCTCTTGCCTCAGCCTCCTGAATGCTGGGATTATAGTCATACCCCACTACACCCAGCCTCCATTCAAATTTAATGGATGATTATTTGCTGCATTATAAAAACAGCAGCCAGCTATTTAAAGAACGACTCATACGCTTCCCTCAGTTGAAGAACCTCACTTTGTTCCTTTGGTGGTGACATTTCAGAACTTTCTGTCTGCAGTCCTTCTTGAACTGTGGCCCAGGCCTCTCTGTTTCTGTCTGTAGGGTGGTTCTGCTTGAAAATGTGTAGATTAGTCCAAGTATAGTTAGGTCTCCAAAGCTAATAGGGTGTTGGTCTCTGATTTGCTTACTTCAGTCAGGGTGGTCAGCATTTTCCTAAACTAGAGATTTAGAAGGACCCTAACTTTTTTTTTTTTTTCTTTTTTAAAACACAGCTTTATTCAGATATAATTCAGGTATCATATATTTTACCCACTTGAGTTCAAGCCAATTATCCTTACTATGTTCCTCAACAAGAAGTCTCATGTAACCTGAAGATATATTCTTTTTTTTTTTTTTTAATTGAGTTTATTGGTACATTTAGGGATACAGTACAGTTACATTCATTGTTGGGATCATGTACCTTTACATGGCAAGTCTTGATTCTCATTTTTTCCCCTTACCTCTGCCCTCCCTTCACCCCCTCCTCCCCTCCCCATCTACAAACACTTTATTTTCATCTTTTCATTCTCTCACATTTTTTTCTTTTCCCTTTTTGTTCTTCCCCTACGTATCACACCTTCCCTACACCTTTAGCTCCTTTCCTCCCATTTCTAAATGTCAGTAATCTTATTAGAATCTTATGCATTGTTGCAGAATATTCACACCAGGGAAACTATTTGGTATTTACACGTGTGACTTATTTATTTCACTTAGGAGTATATCTTCAATATGTATCCATTTTCCTATGAATGAATCTATTCTCTCGCTCTTTATGGCTGAGTAATATTCCATTTTATAGAAAAACCACAACTTCTTTATCCAGTTTCCAACGGATGGGCAAATAGGTTGTTTCCAAGATTTAGCTATTACAAACTGTGCCGCTATAAACATGGGTGCACATACTTCTCTGTGATATGATTCTTTTAGTTCTCTTGGAAAGATACCCAACAGAGGGATGGCTGGGTCAAATGGAATCTCCAGTCCAAGCTCTTTGAGGTATCTCCATATTGATTTCCATAGTGGTTGCACTAGTCTGCACTCCCACCAACAATGGAGGAGGGTTCCTTTCTCCCCACAACCCCGCCAACATTTGTTATTGTGCGATTTCTTGATAGCAGCCATTCTTTGTGGGGTGAGGTGGAATCTCAGTGATGTTTTCATCTGCATCTCTCGAATGACCAGTGATGTGGAACATTTTTTCATATATTTTCTTGCTGCTTTTACTTCTTTGTATGAGAAATGTCTGTTCATTTCGGATGCCCATTTTTGGATCGGGTCTTTATATTTGGGGGGACTGATTGTTTTGAGTTCTTTATATATCCTTGATAATAGTCCTTTGTCTGAGGTACAGCTGGTAAAAATTTTTTCCCACATTGTAGATTGTCTCTTAGTTCTGCTAATGGTTTCTTTTGAAGTACAGAAGCTTTTTAGTAAGATGAGATCCCAGTTGTTGATTCTTTCTGCTAGTTCCCGCGCTACTGAGGACCCTAACTTTTAGCATTTCTTTATCTCCTGATCCAGTTTGCCATCCGCTGCCATTCCTTGCATTGAAATGTCTTGGGTTTGACCCTGTTCCCGGTATGATCACTGCTGCGACCTAGCCTCTGACCCCCTCATTTGTGCTTTATTGACAGGGTTTTCTCCTATTGTGTTCCTCCTCTTTCAGTCCTAGTAACATCAAGTCAGCACCATCACCCCCCAACCCAGGCTTGGGGAATTGAGTGCAGAACCTCATACATTCTAGACAGAGCTTCACCCCTGCGCTGCATCTCCAGCTCAGATCTTCCTGAAACCTAGCTTTCTAAACATTTCAGCCTTAATCAAAAGTTTTAAAGCCAAATCCAAATGGCTTTCTTTTGTCTGTTTTCTTTTATAACAAGAATATTCTTCTTAATCCATCTTTATTTTGTAGTCAGAATGTTCTCCTCAGTTCCCTGTTTCCTGTTTACTACCAATAACAGACACCCTACACGTTCCTTTAGCTCAGTGGTTCTGCCCCCTGCCTTGCAATCACAAGACCCCAAGTTCGATCCTGGTACCCCCCAAAAACAAAAAATAAAAACAGAACACACTTCCTGTCTGAGGGACTCTTGTCCCTCTGTTCTCTAGTGCGACTCTCAGTCCCACTCCAGCTTGTTTTCACTGCATCACTCCAAACCCAAGTTTTCAGGGCTTAGATTCCTGCCTTTTGAACTTTCTTGACAATTCCTTTTCCTGACTATTGTCATAGCTACTTGTGTCTTATTTATCTGTTAATATTTCACATGTATGGTTCAATTTCTTTAAATCTGGTTTTTGGAAGAGTTCATCAATTTACCTTTCTGTCTGTCTTTCTTCAGAGCTGTGCTGTTTATTATATAGAATAAACATAACTACACCTTTTTTTTAAGCTGTTGTATACCTAATTAATTCCTCCTCCTCCTCCTCCACTTTTTCCTCCTCTTCCTCCCCCTCAGGAACTTGGGTTTTGTTTTGTTTCTTTCTAGTACCTGGTACCTGAGATTGAACTCAGGACCTTGCGCTTGTCAGGCAGAAGTTGTGCTGTGGAGCTACATCCCTGGCTACCTCATGTTCTTTTGAAACCCAATTTTTTTTTCTCTTTTTTTTTTTTTTTAACTCCCACCTCTAGAGCATGATTTCTATGTCAAGGTGGAGATTGCCACGTGCTCCGAAGTGGCTTCTGGAGCTTCTGCAGTCAGAGCTGCATTCCATATAGCACAAGAAGAAGAGGATAAGGGACAGCGGCTGTCTTTTGGGTAGTTTGCATTCTTTAGCATTTCTGAAAGCATCTCATAGCACTTTTACATTTAGTCTCATTGGCCAGTACTTAATCACATGACCATACCTTGCTAAGAGAGGCTGGGAAATTTACTCTATTAGTTGAGAGCATTGCTGCATAAAATGAAATTAGTGTTCTATTACTAAAGAAGAGGAGAATAATGGACATTGAATGACTATTAGCAGGCATAGTATGGTGCCTGGCACATGGTAGGGGTTAATAAAAGTATATTTTGCCTTTCCTCTTCCTGTTGAATTAGAGTTGGTATAGCTCGTAATTCTTCTTTGGTTTGTCTGGACCTTGTTTTTCCATCTGTGGTAAAGCTTTTGGAGAGAAGAGCTGTGTATCATAGTACTTTGCTGTACTTCAAAATACCTGGCATAGTGCCTGGTAGTTGGGCCACATAGCGGGAGTTTAGTTGGTATTTTTTAATTAATTGATTTTATTTTCTACCAAACCATACTTGTTTTAACCTCTCTTTGGACTCTTGCTCACCACAACCCATGTTGGTATTTAATATTTTTCCTTTCAACTGCAAGGTAGGAGCAGTTGGGAGGATATACTGAAAATTTTAATTCTTTTAATAATATCCTATTTTCTTATGCCTTAAAAATTACCTTATGGAGTGATAATGTAACATTTTATCTTTTTTAGATTAATGTTTTTAAAATATTTTTGTCTTCACTTAGTGCTTCAGGATAAATTCCCCAAATTGAACCTAAAGAGTAATATATACAGGTATATTCTGTGTATTTATTATCTAGATAAGGATATATGTAATATGAATTTTAAAAATACTGTGTTTGAAAAAGCCTCAGGAAATGATTTTCTGTGTGTATTCAATTCATTACCTATGTTTTATAGGAAAGCTCAATAGTTTGAAGAAATGTTTAGGTTACATTGCATTGTTATGTTGTCCTGTTTTTTTTTAACACTTAACTATGGAAGAAAAGAGGAGAATAAGTAAAACGTAAAGTTTTCATTAAAATAAAGAAATAGTAATGTTACTGGGAATTTCTTTCCCATCTGCTTGGCTAGACTTTATATAAATATAGGGTTGTATAGTGTCAGAGTATCTTGGGATAGAATTTATAAGCATTGTTTTAAATTCTACTTTGGAACTCACTAAATACAATGTTTTAAACATACTCTCTGGTTCTGTCATGTTTATCCCTTCACAGGTATACGATTACATTAGTACAAGAATATACAAATAGAGTATAATTACGTACCTCATCACCATTATGGTAAATACTCATACACTCAAACATGTATATGCCTTACATAAATGCAGATACTAAAGGAATAAAATAAGCTGCTACAAATTATTCTTGGAACACAATGAGGCATACATAAGTGAGGTTAAAATTATATTATTCTGGGGGCCGGGGATTTAGCTCAGCGTTTCGGTGGCCTGCCTTGCAAGCGCAAGGACCCGAATTCAATATCTGGTACCAAAAAAAAAAAAATTTTTTTTTAAATTATATTATTCATTTGTATATACTCAAAAGGAGTAGGTAAGCGGGCATACATATGAAAAGCTTATTTAACTTAATGTTTAGGTATAAATACTAAGTGCATAGAATCTAGGGACCTTGTCAGCAAAGTAACCACATAATCTTAATGAGAATAGTTTTAATATTAGTTAAAATCATAATAATTTCACGGTACTTTTTAATGATACTTTTTACTGGTTACAAACAACATAAAGCCATTTATAAAAAGTTGATTCTTTTCTTATAGTTTGATTTGGTTTGGTTTTGTTCTCATAGATGTTTTCTCCCAGATGTCGGACTCCAGTGGCTTAATGATATTTAACAAGTTTGACCAGTTTCTGAAGGAAGTTCTGAAGCTACCGACAGCTGTCTTTGAAGGGCCATCTTTCGGTTACACAGAGCACTCAGTCCGCACCTGTTTTCCACAGCAGGTAAGGACAGGTTTTTAGAATCCAGGACTAGAAAAACCTAACTTGTCCTTCTGTCTTCTAACAAATCTCACCAGATCACTTCCAGTCCATGATATAAAGTCTTGAATCAGGGGGAAAAAACAGCTTTGGGAAGGGGTGGGTGGATGGAGAAAAAGGGGAGGAGGAATTGAAATTTATCTGAGAACTCTTTTTGTTAGGGTAGGGGGGCCGTCTTAAAAAAAAGATAGTATTTGAAATATTTTAAAGAAAAATGTTGAATAAGTGTTTAATACTATTGCTTATTGCTACTGGACATACATCACTTTACCAAATAAGTCTTTAAACTGAGATACAGGAGTTTTGACATAAAACTATAGCAATATTGGATCATTCTTTCCCAAACACTGGAGACACAGAATGCTGTACAGCTGCCAGCTGCCAGCATAAAATTCCTCAGGGTATGCTGCCACTTTTGTATGACAGAAGATGGGTTTAGTTTCGTTTTGTGGCCCTCACCTAGAGTTTGGTTTGAGTATACTTAGATCTTAATAGGTACTAAATATAGCATTTATTTGTTAAGGTAGAGATTAGGTCAAAGAAGCTTAAGGCTTTGCTTAGAAAGTTCTGGAAAGTGGAAAATTAAGAAAAAAATCTGTGTTAAAATTAATGGAAATAAGATATTGGCATAGTCTGAAATTATCTTCCCAGAAGATATTTATTAGTCACCAAAGGAAACAGTAATTGTACAATTGGAGAAACCAATCTGACGTCACATTATCTATCACCAGTAAAGAGATAAACTGGTACCTGGATGCACTGAGAAGTGCAATATCCTTTCTTTGATCCTCCTGCCAAATGAAAACAGCCTGAATCTAATCTTGGAGACCATCAGACAAACCTAGATGGAGGAGTTTCTATATTATAACTGGATTATACACTTAAAAAATGTCAGTGTTATGGAAACACACACAGACAGCGACTTCAGATTAAAGAAGTATATTGAGATGTGAAAACTGAATGCAACTTATCACCCACAATTTTGTTATTAAAGACACTGAGACAGACGAAAAAATTTGAACAAAATTTATAGCTAAGAAATAGTACATAGTATATGAATGTTAATTCATATGAATGTTAATTTCTTGATTTTGATAATTTGTATTTAGTTATGACAGAGAATGTCTTGGTTTTTAAAAAATTCAGTGTGAAGTCTTTAAAGGTAAAAGAGCTTCTTCCTGCAGTATTATCACAAGAATCTGGACTACCAGAAAATGGAAATTGTTTGGTAATCTTCTCCAACCTTTTTGTAAGTCTGAATTTATGTAAAAAGTTAAAACATGCAATGAAGAAATCTAAAAAACTTGATATTTTGATTCATAAACCAATTAACATACATATCTGCCTCTTTATATTTAAGATTAAAAATTTATATTTATCTGAACTCAGACTTTAAACAATAGTTTATGGTTTGTTTAGATCACTCAGCTTTTACATTGAAGGTTGCATTCATAACAAAGGAACTTTTTTTTAAACAAAGGACCTGAGGTATTTTCCCCAGATTTGTACACACTTCATCTGATTGGTTTCATGAAAATTTGCCTTAGTCCACTACTTTTTCTGTTATTTCTTAGCATAAATGACAATATCAGCTTTTAGCATATTAAAAATATCTCCATCCTTTAGTTTATTCTAATAAAACATAGCTTGGCTTTCCCCCCGAATATGTATTTTCGGACATAAGGCTGTCCAGACTTGTCCTGGGATGAGAATTTCTTGTAGCCATTACAGTGCCCTTCGTGATACGAGCAAGGACCTGCTTAACAGAGGCACCTCAGCTGGCTCTTCTGCTCATTTTGCTCTGCTCTTTTAATGGCATTAGCACTCCACACAGTGACCAAACAGCACCTTGGGGTGGGTGACCTGTGCATACATGGGTCTTCACACAAGACGCTTCCTGGAGGCTGGGCTGGATGTTGTCCAGTTCTTGGGATGCTGCTCTGGAGTCAGAAGTATCCAGATGGAGAGAGGAATCGTGGGAAGGATCAGTGAGGAATAGCATCTGACATGTGGATGACAGTTTTGGGCTCTAAACCTGAAGTACTATTTCAGTTAATTGAAATCTCTGGCTCATCGTCGGTTCTTAAAGATGATTAAAGAAAAAAACCACAGAAGAAATGGAAACTACTGATGGAATGACCAAAGAGGAAAGGGGCAGGGAGAAGAAGAGAGCTGTTTGGATGCAAATTCAACTTAATGGATTTTGGGTTTCTCTTGGAAAATGCCTACACCCCCAGGCACATTTAGTTCCTTACAGCATATTTTGTTCCTCTCCCTCTCCCCTCCCCCTGCTTCCCTTCCCTTTTCCCTTTCCTGGATCTAACTCAGAACCTTGCACTTGCAATGCAGGTGGCAGAACTACTGAGCTAAATCCCTGGCTCAAGCATGTTTCTTCTGACTCATATGCCATGAGATAGGACCATACCAAAGCAAAGTGGAAATCGCAGTGTTGGTTCTTAGGCAGTTTTCCTCCTCATCTTAATGTTCTGCATGAACAAAGAATCTGGATGATCACAATTAAAAAGAAAGTATGAATAGTTTAAGAAACAACCAGAAATACCAGGCATGATGGCACATGCTTGTAATCCCAGCACTTAGGAAAGTGAGGCAGGAGGACTGCAGTGAGTTAGAGGCCAGCCTGGACTACATAGTGAGTTCATGTCCAGCTTTAACTCTGTCTCAGAAAACTTAACAAGGGGCCAGGGATATAGCACAGTGGCACCGCACCTGCCTGGCTAGTGGCTAGCACAAGGTCCTGAGTTCAACTCCTGGTAATGGGGGGAAAAAAACAAAATACCAAAATATCAACCAGAAGTTCTGCAGTACCTTCCTTTAGTGAAAGAAGGTTTAGATGGTTTATGAACTGCTTCATTTTCTACAGCATTTTCTACTGTGATGATGACTGGTTGTGGGTAAAAAATCTGTGAAGACATTTCCCTGTATACTAAAATAGTTGATTGATGAAATTAGCTATTCCTTGAATCTGATAATAGGTTTTGATAAAGCTGATCCACGGTGAAAGTTATATTGCTCTTATTACAAAAAAGGAAAACAAGTGTCAGAATTTAAGGCTGAAAGGTATCTTCTTGGAAGTGTCTGAGAGTTAATTATGCTTCTATTAGTATGTTACTGTTTCTGTTTAGTCTGTTTATGGAGCTGCATAGGTTTTTTGTTTTTTTTGGGGTTTTTTTGGGGGGTGGTTTGAGACAGGGTCTCACTATGTAGTTGAGACTGCCCTGGAACTCACTATGTAGCCCAGGCTGGTCTCGAACTCACAGCAATCCTCCTGCCTCAGCCTCTCAAGTGCTGGGATTACAGGCGAGCGCCACCATGCCTGGCCAAGCTGCATAGGTTTTTAGTGGTTGTTCCAAGCCTGCTTTCCTCATGCAACTTACTTTTAAATTCATAGTTTTGCAATATGTGTAGTTCTCCAGTATTATATATATATTTTTTTGTTGTTGTTGTTGTTGTTGTTTTTTTTTTTTTTTTTTGTACCAGCGATCGAACTCAGGCCCTTGTGCTTGCAAGGCATGGAGGAACCACTGAGCCAAATCCCCAGCTCTAAAAATTTTAATATCAGAAAATTCTAGTTGTAAATTGTGATATAATTGTCTGAATGTACTGCAGTGTTAATAAAACCAATCCTGGCCTAATATTTTGTTGAGTATTATTCTTCAGTGTTTATAAACTAATAAACTCACTTCAGAGCTTTAAAAGTTAATAAAATTAAGCAATAAAATAAGTAAATATATTTAAATTTCTCCCACTTCTTCCCCAAACCAGAGTTTTGGGAAGGGTTATATTTTTTCTTGAAAGATGGTTCACCATATATTTTATTATTTGTTTTCTAAGTATTGGTTTTTAATTTAGTTTGAATAGTCCAGTCTGCCCTTCAGGGGATTTTAGATTCTGCGTCTGTCTGTATGGAAGTGAGATATGGGCAGAGTGGAGCAGGAGGGAGGAGCAGCGTGGTTTCTGAAGTAGGTGCATCCTTGTATCAGTGTTCCTGGACCCTGTATTGCCCTCTCCTTGAGTCACAGAGAAGGCAGGAAGAGGTAGGACAGGACTGTATTGTTGCTGGTTGATTTTCAGAATGGCAGGAGTATTTCATACCTGGAGATGCCCTCTGATTACATTCTGATGACCAGCCTGTCCTCTCTTGCTATCTGCCAGAGTGACTTTTCTTTCCACTTTGAGACGTTTTGTGAATGTTCGGACCTTGCTTCCTTGTATATTAATAAAGTGTGGGGAGAGTTGCCTGGCATGAGTATACATGTTGTTTCATGGGTGTTCTAATTAAGGAGAATTTACAGCTTTCATTAACAGCCCTTCATCCAGGCAGTGTTGGTGTGGATTAGATCCATGTCTCATTGACTTGAAGATGCGTCTTCTTCACATTTCACTGATGTCAGGTCTCATATAGCCAGTGACATCTTAACAGTTACACTGGGTGGGCAGTAGTTATTACGAGTTGTCATTCCAACATGTGCTTGAACTTGGTCATAGCTGTTCATATTATCACTTCAATTAAGTTAGGTCCGCTTTTGGTACTTCAAGTATTGTCCTCTCTCAGTCTACTGTGATTTTGCATTTAAGAAAAGTGATTATAAACAGAAAGGTATGAACACAGAGCACAGGAGGAAGTTTGATATTAGTGGAAGAATTCCATATTTTCTTATAAAGCAACAGCCAGGTATTTACATAACCTTGTTTAAAAATGTGGATTTGCACAAATAGATCAAACTACATCTTTTTTTAATTACTGAAATAAGACTAAAATGATTTCTTGTCCCACCATGCAATGCATCTGAAGGTAGGTGAAGCTGCCAAATCCCTCTGAATACATGAAAGAAATTTTAGTTCATAAAGAGGCTGTTGTGACCAATTCACATTCACAAAGGATTATATTTAATTAAGCCATTGAACTAGCTTAATTGGCTGGGTGTTTTTCTTAGTGGTAGAAA